ATTCTCCTGGTGGTACTAGTTACTCTTCCACAATCTCACGTCGCAACACTTCAGTGATTTGTCTAAATGTCCCGAAGCCTACACTGCTGCCTCCGGAGCTACAGCACCTCGCGCTAGTCCTGCGGAGGACCACGGTGGTCTGCTCAGCCCAGCCTCAGGCCCCTCTTGATGCCATCTCCCGTCCCGTTCCCCGGCCCGGGCACCGGCGCCGTGACCCTCTGACCCGCACGGCCAGAGCCTCTGCCTCCGCCCTCGCTGCTGCCTTGCGCGCGCCGAGTCCCCGCGGCTGCCGACATGTTGTCGTCCAGCCCCGAGATCCAGCCCGGCGGGTCGCCGCCCCCGGGCGCCGGGCAGCCGCTGTTGCAGCCCACCAAGGTGGACTCGGCCGAGGGCCGCCGGCCGCAGGCGCTGCGGCTGATCGAGCGCGACCCCTACGAGCGGCCCGAGCGGCTGCGGCGGCTGCAGCAGGAGCTGGACGCCTTCCGGGGCCAGCTGGGCGACGCGGCCGCGCTGGACGCCGCCTGGCGCGAGCTGCAGGAGGCGCAGGAGCTGGACGCGCGCGGCCGCTCCATCGCCATCGCGCGCTGCTACTCGCTCAAGAACCGCCACCAGGACGTGATGCCCTACGACGGCAACCGCGTGGTGCTGCGCTCGGGCAAGGACGACTACATCAACGCCAGCTGCGTGCAGGGCCTGTCGCCCTACTGCCCGCCGCTCGTGGCCACGCAGGCGCCGCTGCCCGGCACCGCCGCCGACTTCTGGCTCATGGTGCACGAGCAGAAGGTGGCGGTCATCGTCATGCTGGTGTCCGAGGCCGAGATGGAGAAGGTGGGGGCCGGGCGGGCGGCGGGCGGGGGTCCCCATGCCCCGCTCCCCCGGCCTCAACCCTCCGGTTCCTCCGCAGCAAAAGGTGGCGCGCTACTTCCCCACGGAGCGGGGCCAGCCCGTGGTGCACGGCGCGCTGCGCGTGGCGCTGAGCAGCGTCCGCGCCACCGAGACGCACGTGGAGCGCGTGCTCAGCCTGCAGTTCCGGGACCAGAGCCTCACGCGCTCGCTCGTGCACCTGCACTTCCCGACGTGGCCCGAGCTGTGCGTCCCGTCCGGGGGGGCGGGGAGGGTCAGGGTCACCCACCCTTGCTCATGCGCACTCCCTCCTCCCCCAGAGGCCTGCCCGACAGCCCCCGAACACCTGCTGCGCTTC